GGGGGGGATAAGAACAAAAGAGGAGGCGCACAGAAGGGTTCGAATAGAAGGCAGGAAGGGATCAAGGAGGAGACAGGACGGTAATGTGCGTAAGAACGACAACGGCATGAAAAAGAACGGCATAAATGGTCCCTTTTCCCTTTTCGTCGGCTCGTTTCACGCTCTTGTTTTATTTCTATTCCCGTACATTTTGTTTTTGCCGCGTTCAATAGACGCGTATATATATATATATAAACACATAAACGTTCAACGTACCGTGACCCCCCCCCCCCNGTTCAACGTACCCGGACCCCCCCCCCCTCTTACATGTTTTTTTCGCGATCCCACGCGTTGTTCCTTAACCCTCTCGTCTCTGAATATAAGTAATCTCTTTCCGATGTAAAATAATAGGTACGATTTAGTTAATTCAGCGTCGAATGGCATAATTTAGCTTTCAAGTGTCTCGAGACATTCGCGGTATACATGTGTATACCATTCGGGACGAAAGGGTTAAATAAAAGTCGCGAGAACGCAAACAACGCGATCTTGAATCGCCGCGAATCACAACTGTTTCACTCGACGGATACAGAAATCGACAGATACGGAATCTCGCGTTCCCTCACTCTCCCTCTCTCTCTCTCTCTTACTCCCGGAGTTCAACCGAATCGATTAGTTAGGAGAGCGTGGTAATTAATAAGAGCAGCGCTCGCTCGCGCGCGCACAGCCTCCAGGCGACGAGAGAGAGAGAGAGAGAGAGAGAGATATCACGCGCGCGCGACCCCTTTGTGGTCGATCAAAGCGAGAGAAGCGCGCATTTCTCGATCGGCCGTTCGATACGCCAGTTGTCGACGAGCGTTATCGGGCGGCATTCCGGCGTCGCTGTGAAAGTTTTGCGTACGCGCGAATAAATGAAGCGACGAGTACACACACACCGCGTTCCCGGCGTGACGACAGCGTGCGATGCGTGAGATCAGTAGGAGAATACGCGAGTTTTGCCAAAATCGTTGTCGCTCTTCCCACGACCCCATCCTTCTCGGCCGTCGTATAGACATCCGCCGTCGATATCGAACACGGTATTCGTTTCATTGGCGGCGCGGATAATCCGGCGGTGATCTAATTCGTATGCGACGACGAATCAAGGCGGAAAATCCGCAAGAAGCGACGGCTTTGTGCAAAATGCGCGCGCGGAGTCGATTGGGAGGGGGGAAGACCGATTAGAAGCGATAGAAACATCGATTAGCGAGCGAGGCTCGCCTCGGAATCGGGAATTGCCGCGTCCTTCGACGGTCGCGAGACGACGGTCCTTCCGGCAAAATTAAGCCCTCTGTCCCGTGATTATGACAACGACATTATTCGCGGTAATTAGCAGCGAAACCGGGCGCGGCACCGTGTGCGCGCACACGTCGCGAATAATTAGGATCGTTAGACCCGTAATTACGGCTATTCGAACCCTATTAGGACACCCGGCCCGGATCCGGCGCGTCGTACTACGAAATTACCGCTCGCTCGCCGCCGATTCTTTCCTCTCCCGGTGTGATACCCGAATTCAAGTCCCCGTGGAGAGCCTCGCCGAGGGAATCTTGCGATCACGTTTAAGCGAAACCGGCTTCGTTATAAATATCCTCCGTCCAATTAACTTCTCTTCTCCCTTCCGTTATATTTGCTTCGGATTAAGAGATAATCCCAAACAGCCCGGTAAACGCGTCTCTTAATATCGCTTCGACGTTCACGAGACAGATTTAAACAAGCTTCGAGTCGCAGCCCCGCAGATTTTCCAGAGTGAATCTTCGAGAGAATAAATCGTAATCGCAGCCCTCGTATTAAAGTACAAACGGTCGATGGGGAGGTAATAAAAAGGGTTCGATCGGAACTTTCGTAGGAACTGATCCTGACGACGGAAGGCGACAGACGGCTGAGTCCGCACATCAGCCGGATAACGGTGAGCAACTGCTCGTCCGTGATCCTGACGAACTCCAGTCTGGCCTCGATGAGCGGGCTGCGGTCGGTGGAGCTGGTGAACGTGGCGAACTTGAGCCTGGTGCGGCAGAGCTTCGAACTGTCGTCGCACAGCACGCGCACGCGAATCACCGTTAGGAACAGCAGCGTCGACGTGATGCCGAGCTTCGTGTTCCGCGGCGACGTCGAGGCGATCACCTTCGAGAACGTGAGGATCGGCCAGCTGAGTGCCTTCTCGTTCGCCAACCTGGTGCACACGGAGAGCCTGCGGCTGGAGAACTGCCAGATCGAGACGACGGAGGCGCAGGCCTTCAAGAAGTTCGACGTCGGCTACCTGCACGTGGTAGGCGGCAGCTTCGGCGAGCAGGTGCCGAGCCGTACGATGAACGACATCGAGGTCTACCACAAGTTCATGCTGGACGGCGTGAAGATGGGCGTCGTGCGGAGCGACGCCTTCATAGTGAGGAGCCCGCGCACGGTGGCGATACAGAACTGCGCGATCGACACCCTGGAGAGCGAGGCGTTCGACGTGACGGCGCACGGCGCCGTGATCGTCAAGAACAACATCTTCGGCAGCATCGGGGTGGGCGCGTTTCTCGGCATACGCGCGGATCGCGAGATCCGAGCGCCGTCGTCGTCGTCGGCGAGCGGGCTGCACGATCTCATCTTCAAGAACAACAGCGTGAGCAGTTTCGAGGAGGGCTCGCTGATGTTCGATCGCGCGAGCTTCCGGCCGGAGCTCGACAATCTGCTGGTCGCGCAGGCCTGCGACTGCCAAATGCTGCCGGTTTGGAAGAACAACGTGCTCAACTACAGCAACGTCTACACGCGGTTCTACGCGAGGCAGAACTCGCTGACGCCGCCGGCGACGTTGTCGCAGTCTCAGGAGCCGATCAACGAGACCCCGGAGACGTTCCTCTGCCTGGACGCCCGGGTGAAGGGTGTGCCGACGAGCTTCGCCGATTACGAGGCGCGTCATTGCTCGCTCGGCGGCTCCATGCTCGTCTTCATCCTGATCATCGTCGCGGCCCTGCTCGTGCTGATCGTCGGCGTCTGCCTGATCGTCTGGTGTTGCCGGAGACGCAGACGGAACAACCGGAAGAAGTGGATCAGCGTGCCGACGAACGCGCCGGACGTCGTCTCGAAGAAGAACGGCGTGATCGGCAGGGAGGCGGCGACCTCCGGCACGCCGGTCGACAGTAGGATAACCATGGTGGTGCCGGATGGCAGGCTGTACAGGGAGACCGAGTTCCACGTGATGATCGTCGAGAAGACCGAGATCGTCGAGCCGCTCACGACCGAGTTGTAACGAGAAGCCCCCGGCGGCTCGAGGGGACCCGCGATCGCTCCTGTTGAGGAGGAGGAACTCGAGTGGGCGGAAACGTCGAGTCGTTTTCGAGTGTACAAGCTATGAGAGAGAGAGAGAGAGCGAGATACGGACGCTGCGATCAGCGCCAGTGAAGAGAACAGTGACGGGAATTCGTGAGATCGGTGACGCGAAGGATCGGTTTCCTGTGACAGGACAAAGAGACACGGACGTTGACCACGCGCGTCAACGTAAACCGTAAATCGTCGCCGCTTGAGGAATAATAGAACGTAACCCCCCCCGAACTTTCCTTTCTTTTCCCGACCTTTCGTTCCTTCCTTCATTTAACCGACTATCTCCTAGTACAACGCAGTTCGTAAGCTTCCATTCACATATCACGAGCGGCCGCCGATTATCCGCCGCGGCTCTCTCATTCCCGCCTGTCGACCTTTCGCCCCGGAGGCGACGATCGCGCACCTCGATGACGATTGAGGAGCTCCGCGAACGAGTCGCGGACTCGGATGATCGGTCACCGCTGTTAGTTAAGTTTATCGTTGCGTAACTTTCGAGAGCGGGCCAGTGTCGTAGAAGACGAAGCGACCTCGTTGAAGCGATACGATTTAGAAAGAGAGAAGAGAGTATGTGTGTGTGTGTGTGTGTATACGCGTGAAAGAGAATGAGAGAGAGAGAGAGAGGAGCGTACGCGTAAGTGGTGTAGAGAAAATCCTAAACTCGCTGTCTTGTGTAAGATACGCGATTGGGCCGACCTTTCGCACTTCGTTGCTTTAAGTTTATCGATCGATAGCGATAGCGGTTATCGGCGTATTACATTGCGTATTAGTGAGCGTCTCGAGCGAATATCACGGTACGAAAGGACCAAGATGACCGCCCCGCTCGGACAGCTGTGCCATTCCTGGAGTGACGTCACACACACGTCTCGTGTCCACTCCGTAGAAATTCTGATCTCTCGTACGAGGAAAGAAATAGACGAAGATGAGGAATATACTTCTTATTAAGCTTTCATATCAAAATCCCCCTCGGATCCTATCGTTTTTACAGAGCGGAAGATGGCGGAAGATCAACGGTGATGTAATACGACAACGAGCAGAAATAAACCGACGAGACAGACGCATCCCCTTAGGTTAAAGAAACATCCCCCGTATTACGGGGAAGATGAGGCGAAAACACCCGCGAGACGATAAACCGGCGACGTGACGTCGGTCTTTACACGGCGTCGTCGCCGCTGTAAATTCTCTTATCGTTTCCGTTAACGTTGTTCTATTAACATCGATGTGTATTTATTCGCATGCTTTCGCAGATACCTGGCAATAAACTGTTGTTACTGTTATCATAATTTACGTTTAGTCTTAAGTGGGGGCCCTCTGGGTCTCGGTAATTAAAACGTTGCGTGCGATCGTTCCCAGTAAAATTAATAATTAAATAGCCGCATGAATTCCCAACAGGATTTGTAATCAATTAAATCATTTGTCATACACGCACCAACGTGATGTAACAACGAGAGAATTTTGGCGAAACCATCCCGAATGTGCATCCCGATATATGTACCGCGTTTCCTCCCCTCCGACACATTTAATCTGCGTGAACCGAGAGCGTTTCAAGGGCCCCGATGACGAGCCATCGTTCCTCCAGAATATAATGATGAAAATAAATAAACGTTACCCCCCCCCCCCCNGGCGTATATCGCGAACACGGAATTATTATTTCGGCAATCGCGGGATATTTTGATAATCGTGAGAAGGGACCGATTACAAAGAAGACAAAAAAAACGAATGAAATCAAATAAAGCTCATCAAGTATACCCCCATATATCTAATATATCCCGCTATCCAGCAGAATTGATATTTAACACTGGAGCAGAGGAGCCGGGCACTTGAAGGACGGTGCGCAACGCTTCGTCTCGGGCATAAAAGAACAGAGCCTCGGAACATTTTGGTGTCTCTACATCAACATCTCCGTCAAGGTAGAACTTCCATTTAGCATCCGCGTATCGAAAGATCAGAGTCTAATGTGCCGCGACAATGTGCAAACTGTATGTGCGGGTATGTATGGATGTATACGTGTGTAACCGTACCATTGTGAACGAACCGGAGAATAAGTTTGTATAACGTCGTGTAGTTATAATTATCGTGAGACTGTGATATAACGACAGCCGACTGTATAATTTGTTTCGCATTGAACGACCGAAGATACAATAAAGACGATACCGATGCATACTCGCTAATCACATTACGGCTGTTCAATCTGTCCAAGGTGACGCACTCGTGGCCAGGTGTTAATATTCTGTCAGCGTAAGTAAACAATCAAGTGTAAGTGCCGCGAAAATTCTTGGTATCTTTTGGCCGGAATATATCGGTTTTCTTTATAACGCGTCACGTTATGCTCGTTTATTGTATTTTAAACGTAGTGCCGGGAACGTTTTATACATCTTCAACACGCGACTCGGCGAGATACTGAGCAAGCCGCGCGAGCAGAATTCTAATTAACCGTCTTCAGAAATTACGTATACTTCGTGTACATTTACGCGCGCGTGTGTGTGTGTGTCTATATACACACACACACACGTTACTGAAATATAAATTGAGAAAGACAGACATGTCACTGTGACTAAATGTCATTAAATATGGATGTGTTTGTCGTAATCCTATTTGAAATAACTTCGTTGTCGTCATGGTGTGACAAATAAAATATTGTCTCGTGGTAAGTGGAGAAACCATGCATGTACGGTTTCGTACTTCTCTTATTTAGTACTTTTAATCAATCAAAATATGAAGAATGTCCCAAAAAAAGGGCATTCACGAATGTAATGTGCAATTCTCCGTGCCAGAAGAAGAAACTTTTTTTCTCTTGCTAAACTGTGCCCGAACGAGTTTTTAAATGAGAGTAATTTAAACTTCGCGAATAAGCGTTCTAGATTGTACATGAAGTGAAACGCGCATCACAATCACATCGACATCGCGAGAGATCGCGTTAGACATGTAAGCTATTTTCCTTATCAAAAGATTTTGTCACGGTCATATTTATATAATGTCTAAATATTATTTATATTATTTTGGATAAAGTTTGTTCGTGAAAAAGGGCAAGTATTTGTTAGAATAACGTGGATGAAACGTGCAAATAACTGTTGTAAAAAGGAATTTCGGGAATAATTGAATAGGAATTATAGGAACAATTGTCGTCGTATAAATATCATATTCCCCAATCCATCGTATTTCGCACGATGACCGTATGCATCTACACTGTATTTTTAATAATGCTGCAAATTAAGAAAGACGATGGTTGATATTTCATCGGATTTTCTAAACACATAACAGATTGTTGCATCAATATAATAGAGAAAATTGATTTTGAGTTGAACTTTATCTATATCCGATCTTCATCCGTTGAATCTATGTTTATATGTAAGAGAATTTTTAATACGCACAATATTACTGGGCATAAGAGAATCCTTTTGTACCCTTAGAATTAAATTTTCAAGCCCGGCATGAGAAAAATATTTAGACCGTGATAATAGGCAATCAACTTGGTTGAACCATTTTTGTTTTTTCGGACAAGCTGAAAGAGAATAACTACGTTGAATCTTTTGCTGAAAACTTGCAAAACGTAATTCGAAGATTGGATATTAAGTGATATTATAATAAGAGAATTTCTTTCATATTAAGTTTTGTGTATAAAATAGTGGATAATATTGAAATGTTATATATAGTTAGCTGGTAGAATTTTTAGCGAAATGCGACAACTTACACGTCCAATGTGATCATTCGTAATTCCGGTAATTGCGAAGCGTATATTGCTCACGTATATAATTTAATTAAGAAGAAAGAAACACATGTATACATTTTCTAGATGCAAATATAATGCGTGTGTGACGATAATATCCACGAACTTTTCCCGTTTAATCGCATCAATATACAGTTTCTTCTTCAGAGACCATTTGCGTTCAAACTTCAAGCATCAAGATCAGCGTTGAGTACTTACCTGTACGGAAGTACGCCGTCCAGAGCCTGGGAAACGGTGGGGGGCGACGCAAGTGCGAATCCTCGTCCAAGTAATGTCGAGTGTACAGAGAAGATCCTCTTCGCTGTTTCTTGCATCGATTCCGAGTCCTCTTCAACCTCCTCCGCTAAAAATCGCAGTATCATGGATTGATTTTAAGAAACTGTATTCCTCCTCGCACAATCGAAATAGTAAAATATCGAATTAATTTCTCGAAAGCAAAATCAAGGTATCGTTACCATACGTTAGAAAAATCAGCGAATGATTTTAACGTGACATTAAAGTTCTATTGTGTTACACTTACAAGATACGGGAGGCAACGATAGGTTCTTCTTCATGAGACTGGCGGCGCACGCTCCTCCCAAGAAGGATAATTCAATTTCCAGATTCTTCAGACCGTGACCGGACGTTATCCAATCGTAACCGGTGACCAAGCACTTGAAGCCGTAAGTATTGGAGCTCTCGTTCTTCACGTAGTCGGATGCGGTTTCCAAGGAAAATATCACCTCGTTCCCTAAACAACACGAAATCATTCATTGAGTGCGCTACGTACAATTATACGATATCTATTTGCCGTTATCGATGTTTATTACAGACGTACCTGGCAGCACAACGGCGTTTTGAGGCCATTGGCTTTGAACATTGCTCAACTTGTGCAGCACCGGCCAGTACAGAGGAATGTCTTCGCTCGCGGTACTCGTGACTGATCTGTAGGAGCAGAAATTACATACAGGTGTTAAACGCATTCGTTTACTCGTGTACAGGTACGAAGACACTATATCCTACCCGGCCGAGGGATTGGGAATGATATTTGGTACGTAGAGCTGCAGGTAATCTTCGGGTTGCGACGTGCCGCATTCCGCGGTGAATTCGACAGTCAGCCACTTGACCGTCTCCGGGAAAGTGACTTTGTAATACGACACCGTGGCTGGTTTATAAGGATGGTCGCTCTCCAGCCAAGTATAATGATGACTGGTAGTAACCGGAGGAGCGAAGTGTGATTGAGTTTCACTGTCTTGAGATATTTGAGAGGTTCCCATTGCAGATAACAAGTTCAAAGCTGCTACGTGCGGCAACATCTCCTGTATCAGAGTGAGGATCTGCACGCTGCTCTGGAAGACGCAAAGAAGATCAAACTTACATCTAATGGTCCTGGTCTCTGATTTCTTCTCGTCGTTGCGCGCTTCCCCGTCGCGCAATAAACATATTTCGAGTACGAGCTTCTTAAAAATTACTCACTCGGGGATCCGACGTAGCTAAGGGACTGATGTGCGTCATCACCAGCGGCAGGAGGGTCGTCACGAAGGTGGCGTTACTGAGAACTTCATTGGCTATCACTTCCTCCGCCCTCTCTCTCGCCAGAGAGAAAATCTCGTTCGACCGTTGAATGATCGTCGAGGTCATGGCGAGGGTGCACTTTCTCGCTTGCACTTCCGCCATGGCTTTGTTCGTGTGCTGCCCGTCGGAATTTTGCGGGTTCGAGTAGTACAAAATGTGTGGTATCTGACCTCTGGTCTGCGTGGTGCCTGCAACGACACGGCGAGTTGACGCGCGCGTTAAACAAGGAATAAAACCGACGTTACCCTCCTCGAGAGCGAGGTTCTACAGAGGTTTTGAACGCACCGTTGAAACTCAGGGAACAAGCTGTAAAGGTGAACGTAGTACCATCCGCCCCTTTGACGACGCTCAGGCCGCAGTCGCCGTTGCTGGTTCGTCCCCCGCGATTTCGCAGTCTAATCGCGTACTTAACGTTCTCTTTTATGAGCACCGGCTTGTCGAACTTCAGCTCCGCTATATCGTTCACGCAATCGTCCGGGCCGAAGGTCCCCCTGGTGAAGTCCAAGCTGCTCCAGCGCTGAGTATGCGACGGGTCGTTGCCGGTGTTGTTTTGCTGGCACGAGAATAACGATCAGCACCAATCGGTGAATGAAGAAGGAGGAGGAGGAGTTACTTACATCGTCCAGCAGCTCCAACTCGTAGTCGTAGACTCCGGCGCCTCCGTAGATGCCGACGCCAGCGATGACGATACCCGGCCGGTCGACGGAGAAGCAAATGGCGTCCGGAGAGCCGTTACCGGTGTTCCACGACCTCGACTGGTTCGTCCGCACGAACCTCGAGGGTGTGGTGTACATGAGCCGGCCGCAGGCCGCCTGCAGCTCGTCCTCGTTGCCGCTCGACTGAGCGGCCAGCTCGGCGATCACTCGCGCCAACAGGTAACAGCAATGGAGGACCAATTCCGGCAGCGATTGGGTCTTCTCCCTGCAGAGGCTCCTCTTGATCGGTATCAGTATCAGGTCCAACAGTCTGTCGAGGACCTCTCGAAAGGACCAGTTCTCCTTGCCGGAGCTCTCCACCTGGGACTTGTAGCCGATCTGCTCGACCAGGATCGGGTACTGGTGCGTCTCCGTGGAATTCGCCATGAGCAGGCCGCCGTTGTCGGACGGGCTGAGCTGTCGTTTGACGCTGTCGCTGCTGTCCGCGACGTTGCTCAGAATCGGGAATGTGCATCTCAAGCGTATCGCGGAGTTGCACAAGGAAGCCAGGACGGCGGAGAGGAGACGATCCTTCGTGGTGACGCCCTGCTCCTTGTCGATCTCCGAGAGCAACTCGCACAGGGAAGTCCACTTGAGGTAAGCCGTGGGATAGAAGGCGTGATAGCAGGAGACGAAGGTCTTGTGGCACTCGTCCAGTATCGTGCTCGCCATCTTGTTGCTGAGAGTGCCGCCGGAGCCCTTGTTGGAGCGCGTCTTACCCTTGTTCTTCAGGGCGAAGGGCAGGGAGTCGGAGAGAATCTGGCGCAACAAAGCCCGCACCTCGCCTATGCATTCCGCGAGGCGCACCGACTCGAGGGGGACTTTCCTGACCGCGTGGTTGGGGTAGATCTCGTTGGTGTACGTTCTGATCAGCCGTAGGCTGGCCTTGCTGATGTACACCAGGCGCTCCATCTCGAGCAGCGCGTGAGTCGAGGCCGTCGCGTCGGCCAGCCCCGCTTTCAACGTGTTCCAGCTCCACTGGAGGAGAGATATCAGGGACTGGAAGCACTCCTTCGTCACGGTCCTGCTGAATTCTCTCTTCAGCACGTAGACCGGCTCGAGCTGGTCCCTCTGTCGGTTCGACGTCTGGTTCTCGTGCGTGACCACGCGGTACAACAGCTGGGGAATCTGACCGGCGTTCACGTCGGTGCCGTTGTTCGACCTCTTCGAGGACTTGAAGTAAAACATAACCTGATCCTCGGCCGTGACCATCCCCTGCCCGCCGGAGCCGCAGTCGCTGGAGGGCCCGCTGACCTTCACCCACGCAACGTACCACCTGTTCGCCTGTAAGAACACAGGCTCGTCGAACAAGATCGAGTACTTCTGCCGCGGGCCGCACTCGTACGGGATCTCCTCCGTCTCCGCGAGGAGCTCCCCGTCGTTCTCCTGATCCCCGCCGTCGATGCCGATGTCGAAGAGCTTGATCTTCGCCGTGTACTCACCCCGACCGCCGAACAAGCCGTATCCGCCCAGCATGATGTCCGTGTCGGGCATGAACCGGATCGCTTCGATCGAGTGAGGGGAGTAGCCCCAGCCTCCCCCGTGGCTCTCGAATCTGCTGACCGTCGCGAAGTCCTCGCGGCTGTAGACCTTGCTGTGCGTCGACTGGTTGCACTCGTTCTCCTCGACTATCGACAGATTCTCGTCCTGAGCCTGGGTCAGGGTGTCCAGGCAGGCCAGCAGATGCATCGCGGCCTGGGAGCGCGTGACGAAGCAGGTCGGGACGACCGGCAGTGCCAAGCCCGGATTCAGTATGGAAGCCTCCAAGCCGGGTATCGCCCTGGTCTCGGTCGATATTATGTTGTACAGGCTGATCTCGTTGTTGGTCGAATTGAAGGTCCAGATGACGTTGTAGAGAGGATCGAGGCAGGCCGCGCAGTTGCTGAAGTCGACCTGGTCCGCGCCGCTGTAGCTGTTGCAGGTGCCGTCGCGTTTGCTTATCACCAGGCTCTTGAAGGAGTTGGCGTGCTCGTTCTGATGGGGTATCAGGATGATGCAGTTCTTGTTCGCCATTACGGTACTCCTCGTCAGACTGATCGAGTTGATCTCGTCTATCTTGAGGTAGGTCTGGTCGCCGGCCGCGCCGATCCACGTCGCACGCCTGCCCCATCGGGGCCCGATGTTCGGCACCACGTTCGGGAAGCTGTGCCACGGCTGGGAGCGGTCGGCGCGACCGCGGTTCGCTTGCGAGTTGGTGTTGGCCGGTTCGTTCTGCCCGTTCCACCAGTTCATGCCGAGCTGCCCCTTCTGATACGCGCCGAACGTGTAAACCTCGCCCTTCGACGTCAGTATGACGGTATGGTTGCTGCCGGCCGCCACCTGGCTGGCGACGCTCGGCAGCTTGACTTGAGCCGGGCCCGAATGCGCCACCAGGTCCCCGACGCCCAACTGGCCGTATATGTTGCTGCCGAACGTGTAGACTTCGCCGTTCTGCAGAAGCAGCACCGTGTGGTGCAGGCCGCAGGACACCTGGACGACCGGGCTCTCGCTGGGCACGAGGACCCTCGCCGGCGAGATGCTGGCGATCCTCGCGGCGTCTCCTCTCTCCGCGTCGCTGCCGCCGACGGTCTCCTCGGTCACGAGATTCCCCAGACCCGAGCCAGCCACCTTGTCCGGATCCTTCTGCGCGATACTCGGCCCGGCGGCGCGCTGATTGTTCGAACCTTTGATCTTCATGCCGTACTTCACCGTGCTCGGCCCGGCTTTGCACCTCTGCCGCTCCCTTATCTCACCCAGCCGTCTCTGCAGGTACTCCCGGAGATTCGAGCGCGATATGCCGTTGCTGCAGCTCTTTCTCGCACATGTGCGGCAACAGCCGCACTCGGCGCACCCGCTGTCCCCCTCGCCGCAGCCGCACTCCTGACCGGGATACCGATCGGGCCGTATGCTGCTCAGACACGAGATGCTGTAGCCGGTGCACTCCCGGCATATCGTGCAGACCATGCACACCCGATGCCGCCATTGATGCTGACCCGGCGGGCACATGCCTCTCGTTTCCTCCCAGTTCATGTAATTCGCGCTCTCCTCCTCCGCGAATATCAGGTCGTCCTCCCCCGTGCCCATCTCCATCGCCACCACCGACATCTCTTTGTTGACCGCGTGCACCGTCGCTGAGTCCCGACCGCACTGTCCCTTGTTGTTTATACCGAACGTGTACAGGTGGCCTTTGTTCGTCAGCACGGCCGCGTGAGCCTTCCCCAACGACACGCGGACCACGCAAACCTCCCTCAGATCGGTCACCAATCCTGTGACCGCGTCGCTGTGCAGCGTGTCCTTGCCGAACATCAACAACGAACCGTCCCTCGTCACCAGAGCGGTCGATCCGTTGTTGCAAGCGGCGTCCACGATAAACTGCCCTTCCACCTTCGTTATTTTCTTTGGCTTCACCGGTTTCGGTTGTCTGCGAACTTTGTCTGGAATAAGGTAAGTCAAGAGTGTACACTCGGAGTACGCCGAACGATTGATCTGACGCGAAGAACTCACTGCTGTCCCCGTCCTCTCCGCGTCTGGCAGTACCGGCGAAGAGTACGGAACCGTCCTCCATAACCATCACGACGTGCTGCCCATCGTGGCCCACCGCGAAGTGCGTCACCCTCGGACCCTTACCGAAGGTAAGCTCCAGCCAACCATTGGGCCTCGTGTTGCTCTTCATGCCAAGACAGGTGCCCTTTCCGCTGTACAGTAACTAGAGAAAATGCAACATTGATGATTTTGAAGGTGAAGTCAAATGTACAAACAATACAATGTCGGGCGAGTAAGATCGAGAGATGACGCAACAGCCGTCGGAAAACATTCTCGCACAGTACCCACCTTGCCAGACACCGTTTTCAACAATCCAAATTCCTTCCCCGCTGTAACCATCGCAATTTCATCGTCGCATCCTGGATTCAAAGTGTGTATCGATTGTTCCTCATCGAATGACGCGTATCCGAATATATCCACGCATTTCCTCGCCAATTTCAGCGGTAGTTCGGAAGTAACCGTTACAGGATTGCTGAGCGTATTTATCGTACGTACCACGAAGCCTTCCTGTTAGGGAAAGATGAGGGAATTAATTGGGCGAACACTTCGCGGGCGATAGTCCTTCGACGGTTTTTCGTAGGATCGCAGTAATTACATCTTTGCCTGCCGTTATCATGCCGAGATTTTCACCATCGGAAAACATCACGGACGACGACCAATCTTTCCCTTCTAATACAGCGATTCCCGTTACCACGAGTGTTTCCGCATCGATAATTAATAATTCTCTCTGTTTCCTGGGCGCGCATTTGAAGTACAATGAATTCTACAAGAAAGAAGAATAAACGCTTGCATAAGTGACAGATTATTTGTCACATTACTGTACGATCACACGCATTTGCACGGAACCAACATTAGCATAACCAAGCCATCCCGTTTCCGTCGGATAAAAGTCCGCTTTATGTATGTACGTGTGTCCCCATATTGTACCACCGTGGCCACTTCCGATTTTCAGTAAGCCGCGAGTTGTGTGCAGATACAAGTACTTCCCGTCACTAACAAAGCTTCGTTCATTCAAAACCATATTATTCATCTCACTCGACAACTTAAGCGTAGAGGTATATATCTTGGAACACTTAGGAACTCCGTATGTAATCCAATCTGGTCTCACAAGTTTGCCTAACAAAACGGCATGAACACTTCTCTGCAGAGACGTTAACACACATGGCATCTGAAACGTAAGATCAGATTGCAATATATTGTAGATAGAATATTAAGCAAGATCTCATTTAAGCGGCACAAGAACGATGTTTGCGGCGAATTACCTGAATATTTTGTACCGCTAGTGCTCTTGGCGACATCAGCAGAGCAGCTATCGCCGCCAGCAGACGCCCAGTGTCACCTCTCACCACAACAAGGCTCAATAAACATGCGCAGGCGACAGCTGTCAAGTGACTGCCATCATTGGCAGCAGCTGACTCAGGACCGTGAGATGTCGCGAGATCCAACAACAGATCGAATAGTGGATCTACAAGAGGTGAATCGTTAAGATGCTTGGGACGTGCCAAAGGCATCTGGAAAGACTGACCGTTCAAAGATACAAACCAATAACGTCATCTGGTTCGGACTTGAGGCCTTCAGGTAACTGTCCTTGTAAAACATCCAATAGAGCTGACAATGCTTTTGTACACAAAATTGGATCGATTGTTCTACTTTCTCGCATCAATGTAAAAACGCTTCTTAAACCAATACCTACAATCTGATTGAAAAAAAAGACTCGTTGCAGATGTTGCGAGGATATGTATGTGTCACAACGGAACATACGCAGAAAATAAAAGCGAGCACTGTGGCACCTTTTACCTTGGGTAAATTTTGTATAGTAGATATCCTATCTTCATCGTCGCTGTCTGTGTCAATAGTGTCGCTGAGTTCTGTCGGCGGGGAATTACAATTTGATCTGTAAATCTCGCTCGATGTTTTCGCATGTTTCTCTAAAATAGCGTGTCTCACACTAGCAAACACAGCAAATGCCGAGGCATTACAAGATGTTTCTATCTCCGGGGGATTGTTGTAATTCAATTCTCCGTTCAAATCAATCTGTATACACAAAACAAACCGTGCGAAACGAATATGAAAGATATATTTCGTCCGGAAATGGTAAAAAACCAAGAGAAACTATAGCTGCTAATACCTTTTTCTTGTCTCGTTTACGGATACTTTTGTTCCTTTTACATTTCCTCCATTCTCCTTTATTCCTAGAAAGCACAACATAATAATATATCCGTAAACTTCTATACATATATATGTATGCACATATGTATTTTGCAAAGTAATTTCTAATGAATATAAGTAAAATATATAAAATGTAAACGTGAGTGAATATAATAGTATTGACGATAGAGGCGCGGGTAAACCTTCCCAGTCATTCAGACAGAGTAACACGGTGCGCGCGAGCAAATTCTCATGAATAAACAACGAAATTTGAGGTTAACGTCCTAAACCGACGGGACAAATACGTATACGACGAACACGCCGGGCGTGTTAATCGTGCATTTCATTCAATCGGGAAGCTATTCATCTCGCTTCGGCCGATCACCAGCCGGTCAATGACAACCGTGATGAATCAACGGTGTAGTCACGGCGGCGAGTCAGCGTCGAGTAAACAAAGCTCTTGGAGGTTAGACGACGCAGCGTTTTGATCGCACCTTTGCGCCTCGGCGACGTTTTTGAAGAGGTCGTAAAAACATTTGGCATAATTCTCAGGCTCGGGCAGCAGCCTCTCGTTGTCCCCAGACACCATGACTCGCGCGGGACTCTCGGCACCATGAATCACCAAGTCATTTTCGTAATACTATTGATCGTTGACACTTCGGTCTTCCCCATGTGACAGCATTACGCGTTATCCCTGGTAAGAAAGTCGCCGGGGGCGACGCAGAACGGCGTCGCACACGCGTCAACGTGTGCACGTGCGAGACTCCGATTTCCACCACGGGAAGGGTGACTTCACCCTCTGCGTGTACCCGTTGCAGTATTCAAAAATCAAACGTCTTCGGCTGCTGCGTGTTTCGCGGAGTTTCTCTTGAATATGCCACACGTATACCGCGAGTACTGCCGCGCGCGCGACTTCGATTATCGAAGTGCCTGCTAAGTTATCGGGCGAGTGATAACTCCGACCCGCGCGAAACCGCGCGAAACTTCGTAAGCGAGTCCCTCGCTGACGAGCGGTTTCGCCCGTCCGACGAACGCTTAAAGGTCAACGGGCGTTTGTGCATGTATAAACACATCGTCATATGTATATTTAACAACGAAAGCGAAACATTTCACTTCGACGCCGCGCGCGCGCGTGTGTACATACATCACCCTGCGAGATTCTATATATATTACTCGCGTCACACACACGTACACGCGTCATTTACTTGCAGATGTATTCGTTCGTGAAAATATTTATTGCGGGCGCTGTGCCACGATTATGTTTAATGATCGAAATGTCATGAAATAACCCGGGAGAAAAAAGATCATGTGTGAAGTTCGTATATGACTATATGTAATCATATATGCCGACGACGAAGAAATACTGTTGTTTACAAATTATATGCAAACACGATCGAATGCTTCTTCGGGCTACTTGCGCTTCCGACAGCGCGTGATATCGACATTCGATTCAATGACGTAACGTCATTTTCTTCCTATGGGACATATGTGATCGTACATATATACCACATATACATAGGCAAAATTAACACATGATTTTATATATAATCATATATAATCATTTTTTCCCGGGAATGTCGCGAATCGAATATATTTATTTGATCGCATACATCCATACGTAGGCTCTTACAGGCCCTGTTACAAGAGCCGATCTTTCAATTGTACATCAATAAAGATGTTTAACAGATGAATATATTTACATACGAATCCCCCGATGTCGGCGCACAATCCGGCTGCGATACCACCGGGGACAGAATTTTCTCGTCCACTTGGAGGAGTAAAAAAAGTCGCTTTTTTATGCTAGCGCGCGAGATAAGCTTATCTGTGAACATAACTATGACAAGTACGAATAATAATAACCGACATGCGAGCAGAAGACGACCGGGAACGATCCCGATTCGGCCGAAATCATGGGTTTCGTCGATCGCTTGCATACGCGTGCGTCTCACGCCGGACGCAAAACGATACGGCACAATCTGCACAAGTGTATGTACTACAGGCTATAATTCGATAACGTGTCACGTCAAGATTAGAAAGGATCGCTCAGTGAATACTCTACGTGGGAGAATGGGCAGAAAGCATTTCCTTCTGCCGAGTGCGGGATCGACAAAGTAATATCAAATGAGACAAACTGTGCGCTTCGCTTCTTTCTGCCGTGGTAAAATTACCTTTCCAAGAGCGTACCGTGAAAACATAACCTCAAAACGCGAGCGGATCTTGATTCCGATTTTCGATCGAATGTCAAAGATATTTGCGGACGCGCGATCCTGAAAGCTGTCCCTTACCATGGACTATCCTTTCAAGCTTGTAAACCGAAACGTCCGATACGTTGCAGCTTTCCTTTTCTTTTTGTAAAAATGCGCGTGTAGCGTCAAATGTATGCCTAGGTATGTGTATTAGTTAACGAAACGGTCTCGTCCATGTATTTGATTTGTTTTCTGATTGATAGACCGTCACGAATGAAGGATGAATGATTAAACATATAACTGCGAGTTACGGAGCAAGTTTTAAGAAGTGAGACTCGAGTGAGATATACATTGCGTTTAACCTGCATTTAATCGCAAAATATTCAAGTGACATGTAGTATGTAAGCAGATAAAAAACGCCTACGATAATATCATCTGTATATGATAAAAGGATATGACTTATCATGATATCACCTGTTTGGTAAGAGGTTAAGTAATATCCAACGAATTATTCATCGTTTAAAATAACGTTCACCCTTCAACTTTGATTTTCAGCCTAGTCAAATGCAAGATTTGATGGTCCACTTATATCATTGTTCTGTGAATGTAACCTAGATGATAGTCAGGCAATAACTCGTTAAAGGAATTCATAAGAAAAACCTGTGGGAATGGGCAATTGTTTGTGTAAAGATACTCCAGAGGAACTCGAGACATATGGTAGTAACAATCATGCAGAAACTCAAAATACAATACTACCAGAACCAAGTATAAGCATGGTCTCATCTAGTGACTCGGCGTCTCCTTCCTTTAAATTTCCAACATCGGCGAACATTGATAAGCTTGTATTAGAGACACTGGGGAGTCTTGACACTCTGGTAGATAAGTGAGTAAAAGATGTTATAATGTATGCGCGGTACATTTACTCGTTCCATCTAATGAACATTTGTTTACATTCAGTGATCACGAGCCACCACCAGCGATGTTAAAATTGAATGCTATCGCTGATAAGGAAGATGGTTGGATACAAGTAGTTAGTTCTATGGTCAATGTTATTCCAATGCACAATCCATTGGGTCCTTCTGTTATAATATTATTATTAGATGATTGCCCTTTACCTTCGAAGGTTGGAACTTACTAATTACACTACGGAAATGTCAAAGAGTTATATTGATATCAAAATAACAATCATAGTGAGATTAGCAGTGACACTTATTTTTTTTTGCTATTGTAGGACTCTGTGTTACGATTATCACACATGTTTCAATTGTCGCAAAGACTTGGAAAGATACAAATTACAGCCACCCAACAACGCAACATATGCGTTGTACTTGGTTGTATCGCAGAGAAACTGGCTGGTCCTAGTAGTATAGCGATTTTATCTGACGCCACCTTAAACTATCTTGTTTCGAACTTAGTATGTTGTTTTATTAAAACAGCTCAGATATATCTGGCAATATCTGTGTGTTTCAAGTTACCTCTTCAATATGATTTTTCTTTCAGCGGGAAGATATCGAGCCTTATGTAGTGTTATATTCTTTAATAGCATTAGAGAAGTTTGCACAGACAAGTGAGCAGAGTATTAATTTGACGATAAATATATGTATTCTTTGTCTTAACAAATATTCTGTGTATAATACATCTTATGTATCGACAGGTGAAAATAAGGTAACTATTAAGAAACGTCTTATGGTAGAAAAGCAGAATCCGCTGCTTGAATTGGAGAAATGGGCTACAGAAACACATTATGTGCGACGTCAAGTTGGTTTCTGTGCACAGTGGTGTTTAGATAACCTATGTGAGTGTATAATAATTCTAACATACTGTATAATTTAGTTACTCTGTTCTTGGCGAACGATAATGTATTCAATATTCGACGTTTATTCTGTTCAGTTTTAATGGAAGGTAGAAAGTATTCCCATGACTCGGTCGATGTGACTGGTATTAATGTAATGTTAAATACAAAGGATGTAAGCGAGTACCTGAAAATATCACCTAATGGCTTGGAGGTAGATATCCTGCAATAAAACAGAACATACCGTATATCCTCCCTATTGGAGCGGCTTGTAATCTATCGTCATTTTAGGCGCGATGCGATGCGTATTCCTTTGAAAGTGTACGATGCACGTTTCAAGTAGATTCAGGGATATGGTATTACGAAACGCTTATAATAACCACAGGAGTAATGCAAATTGGATGGGCCACAAAGGACAGCACGTTTCTCAATCACGTAAGCATTCTTATTTATAATCTGGACAATTTTGCATCTTTTGTCGAAAGATGTTAAAACTGGCATATAATATTGAATTGTTATCAGACAATATTTCCCCTGTTTTCGTGCGAAAGCATAATTTCTTACTTTCTAATATCAGGAGGGATATGGCATAGGAGACGATGAATTTTCCTTGGCCTATGATGGCTGTCGTAGACTGATTTGGTATAACGCGCGAAGTGAGAAATTCCACGACAGACCATGCTGGAAATCCGGTGATGTCTTGGGTTGTTTATTGGATTTAAATAAATTAGAGATAATATTTTCTATTAACGGCGTACCGCTTAAACCGTGCATCCAAGTATTCAAAACAGTAAGGTATGTATATCTTGTGTATTGAGGCATTGATTAAAAAGAAAAAAAGTTCCCTCGTATTGACAAGCAAAGGAATGAGCGACATTAATGGGTTTTTCTAGGTCTGGATTCTTCGCAGCAGCTAGTTTCATGTCATTCCAGCAATGCCTTTTTAACTTTGGAAACACACCTTTTAAGTATCCACCTACTGATCGAGAATTTCAGAAGTTTAACGACTATGCTACACTAAAACCAGAAGACAAGATAGTACTTCCTAGGCATATATACCTAGACCAATTGCGAAGACTTAGTGTTAGAGAAGATTCCTGTACATTATGCTTCGATCAAAGGGCATCGGTGAGGTTACTGCCATGTGACCATAGGTAATATGAATCTGTCTAAATGAGTATAATACAGCTGATATCGCAAAAGGACATAATATAATGACCGATTTATTCTCGCAGAGGATTTTGCCAAACGTGTTCGAAACAGCTGATTGAATGTCCAATGTGTAGAGCTACTATTGAAGAAGTAGCCTCTGATAACATATGACATCGATCATATCATACAAATCTTTACCAAATCTTTTACAATTTTTCTTATATCATGCAACTTTCATGGAAATTTCACGAGATAATCATAATTATAATAGGTAATTATTTGTGCTGTATATTATATATAGTCGTCACGTATCACATAATAATTTCCTTGCGACACAATACGTTAGTAGGTAGAAAAGACTACAAATTTGTAATAAATAAAAATATTCCGTGGTCGCAGTGAATCGCAAATGAGCAGACAACTTCGTTGTAAGGATTGGATTTAAAGATTGAAGCGCAAGCAAATATTTTATGATAACAAAACATTATCTTTAAAACTTTTCCATATACATCTCTGTACTTTTTTTACTATGTAGATTTATAGAGAATGAAATTTTGTGGTTTACTAATATCGTGAACATTGTTTCTTGATTTGTCAAGATAAAAACATTAACGTCGAGAGAATATATTATTGACGATTATATTATTTATAATATAAAGAGAGAAAAAGTTCACATTAGCCATATCACGCAAAAAATGTCTCACTTTTACGTAGTAAAATCACGCTCGATGGGAGTAACGTACGCATTTATTATCACAAGAAATATAGTAGGTAAAACTTCTTGAAATATATAGATATAAAATCAAACGGCAAAATGGCAAAAATACATCTTTTCACGCTAAAACTTTCTAATCTTTAGCGTTGATGTTCGTTCTTAGATAAATGTGCTCGTTACGCTTCTCGGGTTTCCGAATGTAATTGTTACTCTCGAATAAATTTTGCCTAATAATTCTTGCTTTGAACCTTGCGACTACGACGTGAAATTCGCATGAGAGATTATTTGTTTGTCAACTTGAAAATTTTCTCTATTAGAATTCGAAAGTTCAGATTATTTACAAACTATTTATGCGCAAGTGAAAATAACTTGTGATGTAATGTAAATTTATCTTTAAGAAATTGTGAAATACTGATAATATAGATTACATATATTATGTTAAAGTATATATATATATATATATATATATATATATATATATGAATGACACTTTCACATGCATACACATATATTATATTCTTGAGAAAACATAAAAAGAAATTTAATGTTTTATCATACATGTATTTTACGAACATTTTTTTATAAAGTCTTATTTTCGTTATCAACTACCTCTCCCGTTATTTTAATAAAAGTAACATAATCCCCGATTCTGTGTGTGTGTTTGTGTGTGTGTGTGTGTGTGTGTGTGTGTGTGTGTGTGTGTGTGTGTGTGTGTGTGTGTGTGTGTGTGTGAACCAAGAAATATACATATATATCGATATATCGATATATGTACTATATATCGATATATATACTATTTAAAAAAAATTTATAACTTGTTTCAACATTAATGCGTATATGTTACATTTGACATTAGGTATATGAACTCTCTAAGGAAGACTTTTACATGAGTCCTCCATTTTCCTCTTTCCTTATACATAATTAAATAAAGCTTATGTCTTTCGCTAAAAATTAAAAAAGAAATTGGAGTAATGCTTTCTTATAATTATTTAATTTGATGAGAGATAATTATCTTGAAATTTTTTCCCAACTCATCGAGCAATATGAAATCATTTTAATACATTATAATATATATACACACACACACATACATGTATACAGGTATCCAAAGTTGCCTTTCAAGAGATTTATAATAGTATTGTTAATGTGGCATAATATACTCTATATCAACACGACAAAATATACAAATTCACCGAAGTATGAAGATATAATCATCAAATTTTCAAGCGTTTGTTATAGCTGCATGTTGTGTGATTGGGATGCGACAAATATCTACCTATTACCGAATGACCGTTGCGTTTAATCACGAGTAGACTGATTGATCCTCTAAAACGATTGCCTATCATTTGATCCGTCGCTTCCAACATTTGTTTCTTACATTGAATTCGTTTGTATTAGATTACATACAGCATAAATCTCCAAGAGATATGCTAAAGACGTCCAGAGGATATCCTAAAATATCTTATATCCTAAAAGTGTTCCCAGGATGTCCCTCAGATAAAGTGTACTGTATGGGTAACGAACACAGAATAATTATCAAATAGAAATCCGAAAATATAAACCTGAACTGCAGCAGCACAATTATGTGAAATTGAATATTTTTACCATGTTGAATTTTTAAACGATTCAAGTAGATCATTCTTAATTATCGTGAAGTATGCTGTTTGTCGAGATTCTATTCCTTTTTAAATCTTTCTCTAACATAACTTGCTGTTGGCTAAGAACTCAATCTGTTCATTTCTAAGTTCTATACCTCTCAATCTGTTCATTTCTAAGTTCTATACCTCTCATTATACTGCATTATATTGTATTTATTTGCATATTTTTATAACTTTCATTTTATTCGAGAACGTTATTTATTGCTAAGGTGCACGAATACCATTTTCGATTTATAATTGAGTGTGCGAGTGCAGTTAGTTGCGGATTATGGGTGTAGTTGCGATTGAAGAAATGCGAAATACGGAATCGCGGAATGTCCTGCGGAATGCGGATTATATTTGCAGGTTGCGGAGATTGGTGCGGGTTTTATTGATTATTTTAATAGTACAAATCTTACATGTTTACAAACTTATTATGCTTTGTTTAGGAGCGCGTTTGAATCTCAGTAACACAGCGCCGTCTGGCGGCGTTGTGGTTGAAGCACAGACAAATTTATCTTAGCATCTATGCAAATACATATATATATATACATATATATATATACATATATATCGTGTTCTTATTTTTTACACGGGAAGAATCTTTGCTCTTCTCCATAGTATCTTTTCGAGGTCTTATTTAAAGAGGATGGAGATTTATCTCTGGAAAATGTTAGTGTTCAGGTAAAAGATGCGTGTACATTGTAATGTCTCTCGAGAGAATATATTATGCAATGTATAATGGTCCCTCTCTCTTTCTCTCTCCCGCGCCCCTCCCTCTTTCTTTCTCTCCCTCTCTCTCTCGACCGGCCCATCGAAAGTCCTATTGATCTAAAGAGACACGTATATCGCAATGAACCAATTGGCGCAAAAAAAACTTTATTTCCAGAGCGAATGTTTCTGTATAAATACAAGGCTGAAATTTTATATAATGTTTCAAAACAAATATTTAATCAGCCCTCTGCGTAAGACCGAAAACATTTTTAAAAACCTTGGAACAGCGATTCGCATAAAAATTTATTCGGGTACCATTCAATGTAATTCTTTTGCTCCCTCCGTTGCTTCTCAACAGCACGCGATAAATCTTGTCGCGAGTGTCGAAAGAAAAAAATCGCGACAAATACGGAAACAATCCAAATCCCCATGTAGTCCCTATGTTCTACACTCTCGACTCGTCGAAGGTAAATTTCCATTAACGATCGCGCGACTTAACGCAGGACTCACGAATCCTCGGGGATCGCCTCGTCCGATGGTCGTCAGACGTAATAGACGGCAAACTTGCGACGCGATCGCACCGCATCCTGCGACCTATCGATATCGGTCGGGAGCGAATCGACGAGCGGCGAACGATACCTCGCTCGACCCGGGCGGCTAGTTGAGCGCGTGGCCGCGCGAGCGCGCCGCAGTTTGTTACAAGATGGCGGGTGAGTGGAGTGACTGTGGACGGGACGAGACTTCGTCGAGGCAACACGAGGGATTTTCCGCTAATCCGTGGTGTTTGTGGGTTTCAGATATATCCTACATCCAGAAAGAGGATCTGAAAGGCTCGGACGAGGGTGAGTACGCTGAGCGCGGATGTATGCGTATTTCACGACGGGGCTAGTGGTGTCGTCGCGCGCGCGTCGCGACGATAGCTCTCGGGTTCTCGCTCGGGATGCGTGCACATTCTCGACACCCGCTCTCACGCGTTCGGCGGCGTGTATTTCGGGCCGAGCGCGGCCGGTGCGTGCGTGCACGCGTGCTCACGCACGTACGTGGGTGCGCGTGCACCATTGTGCAGCGACCGCGGTGGTACCGACGTCTCCTCGACACGGCTCCTCGCTCGGGATTTTCGAGGTTAAGTCGCCGCGCGAGGGACCTCGGCACTCCGGCGCTCGTATGGCGGTTGTCACGCAGGGTGGCACGCGCCGAGACGCGTAGAAGCGCGCGGGGAACAGTGCGCCTCTCTCCGCACGGGGCGGTTCTGTTAGTCAGGGGGCGCCACGGGACGCGTCGCGCGTTGTGTTTATCTCGGCGAGAGCGGAGAAAAAGAAAAGGAAATGAAAAAAAGAAAGAAAGAGAGGAGCGAGATCGCGGCGAGAGAAGGCATGTTCGTTTCGTGTCGCGCGTAAGTACTCTGTTCTCTCCGTCCTCTCGCCCCCCCTCCCCCCCCTGTCGCGTCAGCGAGCGGACCAATGCGACCGAGAATCGTCGCCGTGAGAACAACCGTACCTCCGATCGGCCACAGAGATCGCCGATTTCGGTTTTCCTGAACGACGTTCCGGGTAACGTAGGACTTCCCGATGCGAACACCTGCGTCGCGAGAACGTACGACGGCGTAATCCGGAGATTCATCGCGATCTCGTGATTTTGTAGCCGCCTTTCGCCTCGGCGTGTTGCTCGCCGATCTTCGATCGGATGCTTTTCAGTTGCCATATTCTGGACGCTCGTTGCGCGTTAAACGATCGTCCGATTCCCCGTTTTTCTCATACGATCCTCACGTGTAACGTTGTTCCACTTTGAGAAGCAGACGGGTATCTCAGCATTCGCGTCCGGAATACGACGTTGTTCTCGGGAGCACGACGAGAGCGCGATGCACGAGATGTCGAACGCTCGACCAGGAACGTATCTTGCTTCGATCGTGCATCGTCGTACTGCCGTAAAATATAACAATCATTTTACGGGTATCTGTAGCGTCGAAGCCGAATTTCTCAGGGAAGAAATCACGTCGGCTTCGATTCGTGTTAAACATCCACTCGAGCGCGCAATTTATAAGGAAAACTCGAAGGCAGGGCGTTAAATTGTTGTGCACAGGCGTCGTTATAACGTCCGTAATAACTGTTGGTCGGCGTCTAGAAGACACGGTGCGTGTATGCCGAACGCGAGGGAGCCGAGAAAGAGAGAGAGACCGAAGGTCGAGCCGGTCGAAAAGTGGCGGCATCTTGAAAGATTAAAGAAAACGAGCAGTTAGCGCGCGCGGTTCCTTCCCCTATCGGGGTTACTGATCTCGGGTTCCTCTTCTATCGTCTATTTGCGAGTGCCATCTGTCGTAAGTAGGGCCGTACCAGGCGGCAGGTTCTCCCGGTGGTTCCCAGAAAACCGCCCGGGAGATTCCCCTCCGCTCGGCGCGCTTCGAAAAACCGAAAAAAGTCCGTCCGTCCGCCTTCTCAGGGCGCCCCGTAGGTGCCGGTTTCGCGTTACTAGGCGCGGGAATAATTTTTCTCACGCGATTAACCGCGCGGGACCGAATTCCGGCCGAACGGATAACGGCGGCACAGAGTTCGTTCCACTCCGAGAGAGACCTGTACACACAAATTTATCTCCGCTCTCCGTCTTCAACGTTTTTCCGTCATCCTCGCGGATATCTCTTCCGTTCTGTGGATAAAAGTTGGCCCTAGCCCGCCTTTATCTCGCATACCACAGAGCGTTTTATCAGCCGCGCTCGTTTATATTTCTCTAAACGTTGTCTGAGAGAAATACTCGAATCAGTAACCTTCCGTTGCCTGAGCACAAACATATCTGGATCGGGTCGATCGGGAGGATATATCTCGTTTCGAGCGACTCGCGAACGGTATTTATCGTCTGTACATCGAACGTGTTTCAGTCGTTAACGCGTGCCTCACCACACATGAAGTCTGTGATTATTTTCGTAATTTCGTAACGATACGAAGCGATTTAGTTCTTTTTTTTCCACGTAGATTCATTCCTTCGTGAACTAATGCGAACGTATATCTATGCTCGATTATTCGATGTCACGCAAGTGACGTTATAAATTAACACGATGGTTCGTTGGAAAGGATATATTGCGGTAAGTTGATCACTGTCTGAATATTCTTCCGTTAATGCTAATCT